ATAAAGGGATCAAAAATGGCTTGAAGAATTGAGGCTCAGAAAATCGGTGCCCATGGTTAACTCAATCATTCCGGATGACCGAATGACGAACGGGTTAATTCCATGGAAGGAAAGTCATTCTCAGCCAAACGACTGGGAGTTTGACGCTCAGATAGTCTCACCTCAGCGGTTAATATGAGAATCGATTCTGGAAAACCGAATGACGAACATATTAGCAGTTTGGAGGGAGCCATACATTTCAGCAGGAGTTTTGACCCTGTAATTACGCATTGATGAAGGGATCAAAATGGCCTGGAGTTCGAAGGACAGTGATTCTCACCTCAGCTTGTTAACACGTAGAATCATTCTGGGTGACCGAATGACGAACGGGTTAACAGCTTGGAGGGAGCTGAGTCGTCAACTTAGCCAAAGTCGACCCTGTAATTACGTACGGGCAAAGGGATCAAAACGGCTTGGAGATGGTGTCAAGACTGTAAGATATGGATTAACCGAGCGACGTTCGGATAAGGTACGGATTGTCGTCCGGGGAATCGGAACTATGGTTTTGAAAAATCTCGCCTCAGTCATAAAACTTGACTTGGAAGCTAGTCGCCCTTTTAGCTATAAGTAAGAAATGACCCAACTTCGGTGATCTTGCTTACAGTCCGAAAAGGGTTACCTCAGACCCCTAATATGGATGATACGAGCCAGAGAAAACAGTTCGGAATGCATCGGAATTATGGGTTTGGAAGGAGAGAGTCTCACCTCAGCTTGTTAACGCATGAAATCATTCTGGATGACCGAATGACGAACGGGTTAACAGTTTGGAGGGAGCCCCTATCCCAGCCGAGAGTTTGACCCTGTGGTCACGATCAAAACGGCTTGGAGGAATTCACCTCAGCTAAGAGTTTTGAACCCGTGCGTCACGAACAGGAAAAGGGATCAAAACGGGTTCGGGAAGGTGTCAGAACAATTATGAAGAGAGTCTCACCTCAGCTTGTTAACATGTGGTCATTCCGGATGACCGAATGTCGAACGTGTTAACAGTTTGGAGGGAGCCCCTATCCCAGCCGAGAGTTTGACCCTGTGGTCACGATCAAAACGGCTTGGAGGAATTCATCTCAGCTAAGAGTTTTGAACCCGTGCATCACAAACAGGAAAAGGGATCAAAACGGGTTCGGAAAAGGTGTCAGATATAAAGATACATAAGCCGAGTGAGGTTCGGCCATGTAGAAAAGATTGTGGACAAAAAATCAAAGGAATAGAAAATGTGCAACAGACAAAGGAAAAAAGTCCAGTTTATTCTTCGGCGTTACTAGCCGGAATATACAAAAACAAATATACAAGAAAGGAGACAACAGATAAGGAAAGGCTACACTAATGGATGATCGCCGTTCGGGGAGGATGTAGGCTGAGAGCTCCCTGCCTGCACTGCATCGTCAGGCGCTGCTTTGGATCTTTTCTCCATGACGCGATCATACGTATTCCCGAACAGATCATCGAAGCCTAGTTCATCAGGATCGAACGGCTTGGGGAAACGCTCTAAGATCAGTTCAAGATTCCTATCCAGAAGCAGGTCCTGACTTTGCTTGACGGTTTTCTCGGTCAGGACATCCAAGAAAGATTTCCCTTCCGGCGTGCTGTCCAGGAGGTCGATCCCTGCCTTGATGGGATCTGAGCTCTCACGCAAAAATTGGCCAAGGTGAGGACCTAGGAATTGCCGGGCCGTATTCTCCAGAGCGAGGTTCAGCGCCTTGCCCCGTTGGAAATCCACTACCGATTGCTGAGCAATCTGAGAGGTATTGACCGTGTAGGGTTCGGGCAGATGATCTCCGACAGCCTTATCAAATTTAATGCCAGCAGATTCAGCAGCCCGCACCTTGGCCCAGAGTTCTTTGAGCTCCCGGTCGCGACGACGGGACGTCTCCTGCATCTCGGCCAGGGCAGCTTTTGCTTTCTCACCCTCTTTGGCCTGCTCCTGGAGGTCGGTCGCTAACTTCCGAGCGGCGGAAAGAAGGACCTGGCCGTCATCCCGATCACTGGCCAGGGCTTTCATCTCCTTCTCAGCAGCGAGAAAGGCTTTGTGATAGTACACGCCAGCCTGAAAACAAGGTTACAATGAAAGTCAGAAAAGGTAAAGCATGAGTAATAGAAAGGTATGGGTCGGACTGAAATGTACCTTGAGTGCTTCCTGGTGACCTGCTTCGAAAAGGTCCGACCAGTGAGTCAAGTTAGTGAAGCTCGGGGGAACTTTGATCGCGGTATGACACCACATAGAAGATGGCATCAACCCGAACAGATACCTCCCTTCCGATCTGGGCCCCATATTTGAGAACTCAACAAACATCCGATCATCGATCGGTGTGGCAGTAAGAACCGGAGTTGGTGTGTTGGCAGGTACTGATCTTTTGGGCTCAACCTCCGGCCCGGTCAAGTCAACCACATGGTCGATCGAGATCAGATGATCGCCATCATTTCCTTTGCGCTTTTTCGGGTTTGCTCCGCCGAATCACGATCGGCTATCATCTTCTCTTTCCCTTTAGCAGAGGAGATAGAACGCCGGACGGGTATGGGAGAGATCACACCTACAAGAAAGAGAAATAAAAAATAAGAAAGTTGAATTGCGAGAGCGAAGGATGATCGGGTTAAAACCCTACTATCCTTACCAATTCCAGCAGATAACATGCTCGAGGCAGTGACAAAGCTGCGAAGACTTCTGGTCCCTCCCATTCGCAGAGACTCAGCCTGAGAGCGTAGAACGGCATCCACCCTGGGCAGGGAATCCCGGACGGGATATGCGTTCCACCGGTCCGGGAATGGCAAAGAATCACCTACCCGAACGAACAAAAACCGCTCTTCCCAGTCAGCCTGCGGGGTAACGTTCTCTGTGAACAGCTGACGGTCAGAACGGGATACCAGCTTCAAGTACCCGGTCGTCCAGTAGGGCTGATAGCAGTAATGATAAAGGAATAGATCGACGCTCGGGGTGATCCTCAACTCGTGGCACCGGATAATGAAGCCTGTCAGAATACGGTAGGTGCTGGGCACGAACTGAGCGGGCAGTACAGCAACCCGGCGTAAGAACTCCACTATGAATGAGTGGAGAGGGAACCGAAGTCCAGCAGTCAGGGCATCGAGGTGCACTAGCACGTGCCCCGGTCTGTGCCTCATAGGGTGCCGAATGAATCCGGCATAGTATTCTCTTGGTGGGGGCAACAACTGGCTAAGTTGCCATTCAACATCTTCTGGGAGACGTTGTTTGTGTTTGCGTATGCGATTGAAATGTAGGGGAATGCGGGGTGGACGCTCGGGCATCCCCTTGTTGTAAACCTGTAGGTCATCTCCCGACAGACATCCATCCTCCTGCGGCTGTTCGGTATGTTTGCTGACCTGAGTATTGGCAGGTTTGGGTGTTTGGGACGAAGAGCCTTCGGCCTGGTTACCAGCGGATGTTTCGCTTTTGCGGATCAAAGGCATCTCTTCAGATTCTGAGCTAGAGGAGTAGTACATAAAAACGCTGGAGGAAATTTGGGAATTCTAGAGAGAAAAGGCTTGAGAGTATGCAAAGGAATTCTAGAGAGAGAAAGCTCGAAAGAAAACAGCAGGAGAAATTAGGGGAAGCACCTCTCAATAAATAGGGAAAGTACCGCACAACCCCCTAATCCATGAGCAACACGTGGCATTTGGTGGTTACGATTAAAATTGGGGCATTTATGTTTCATTTTTTGTGCACGTACCCCGGACGGGCTTACAGAGGATTAGCAAAAGCCACAGGGGCTTGCTGTTTAGAAAAATGCTAAGTCCTAAATATCAACGTGAAGCCCGACCGGCCGACAGTATTATAAAAGGTTATCTGGAAGAAAAATGCTAAGGCCTAAATGACAACCCAAAGCCCGACCGGCCGACAGTATTATAAAAGGTTATCTGGAAGAAAAATGCTAAGGCCTAAATGTCAACCTGAAGCCCGACCGGCCAACAGTATTGTAAAAGGTCATCTGGAGGAGAATGGCTAAGTCCTAAAAATTGGTTTGAAGCCCGACCGGCTATCAATGTTATGAAGGAGTCCAAGCGCAAAGAAAACCGAGAAAACTGCTAAGTCCTAAAATTTGGTATGAAGCCCGAACGGCTGAGTACCGGGGGGAAGGGGTTTTTTCCTTTAAATTATCAGAACTGTCTAATGCCCGAACGGCGATCAACGGCATTAAGAATATTTGAGCAAGGAATAAGTTAGGAAATTGCTAAGTCCTACAGAACAGGCCGAATCCCGAATGACGAGTAAATCATGCATTAAAAACAGAAAAGACAACACAGAAAGTTTCAGACAAAAGAGGGATATATATTCGTCGGTTCTACTGACCGGGAAGTACAGGCTATTTAGAGAAAAAGAAAATTACAAACAAGTAATGAAAAAGTACATATGAATTATTGACTGGGGACCATGTCATCTCCCTCTTCATCCTCATCCTCATCATCATCAGATGGGGGTTCAGGCTCTTTTCCCACAGCTCGATCAGCTTCCCGTTGCTGGGCTCGCAGGTATTTCTCGAACTGCGCCTGGATGATGTCATCTGTGGGGAGATCAGAGGCCTGAACCGGTCTCCCCAGTTGATTTTGGAGCTGAGTGATCAAGGGACGCAGCAAGACCTGGCCAACTTTGCCATAAAGATCGGAGACAATGGAGTCGTTCCATTTCTTGGCCTCCGGGTCCTTATCCAAGAGGGCCACCCCAGCCGATAGCCGACCGGCGCCTTTGGGGAAATCCTTCAAATGAGCCCCAAAGGCGAACGGGATTTGGGCCCTTGCATGTTCATCCTTGATGATGGAGAATTCATCGGAGGATTTAAACATGTCCCGGACGGCGGACAGATCCACGTTCACTTCATAAGGACCGTCCGGGATACTGGATGGCAGTTCTTCGAATCTGACCCGAGCGGCCTCAGCGGCAAGGATCTTCGCCTGGGAAGCTGCGAGTTGGACTCGAAGGGTACCGACTTCAGCATCCAGCCTCTGCTTTTCCTCCGCGAAGGTTTTCCGTTCGGCCTCCAAAGAGGCGATGGCAGCAGCAGCATGTTGCTCAGCAGAAGACTGGGCAACAATCAGTTCCCGCTCTTTGGCCAGGCGGGCCTCCCGCATCTGAAGGGTGTACAAGCCCATCTACAGAATACCGTTCGAGAATTAGTGCTGGTTACAGAGAATAAAATAAAGACAAAGCACAAAAGACAATATACCTTCAGAGCAGTCAGGGCCAGACATTCTTCAGATTGCTCGACCGGCAACTGAGGAAGGGAAAAGTTGTTGAACCAGGAGGAGGTAGACCAGATCTGGCTCGCTGTAGATCCAGCCCTCTCTAAGACCTCATGAACAGGGTCGGATAGGGAGATCCGCTCGACCTGACCCGTAATGTGGTCGGTATGGGTCTCATCAGCATTCGAGGATTCCCCCCGAACGGAGTCGAAATGCTGGGAAAATTGGTGCAGTTGGTCAGAACCGAACCGATCATCAAGCAGCATGGCCTCTAATTGATCCTGGTGGACCTGCTGAATTGGCTGAGGTTCTGGGAGCGGTTGGGAAGGGGCAGCCTCCTGAGCGGGAACAATGGTGGGAGTAGGTTGGGGGTTCTTCCGGGATTTTTTCCGCTTTCCGCCCCCACCGGCTGCGATGACTCTACTATCATCCATGGGAAGATCTGGGTTGGGTGCTGAAAAAGGCAAAGAACAATGTTAGTATCGAGCGGCCCTAGCGTGTGAGAAACTAAAAAAAAAGAATGAAAGAACGTTTCTCGCACGGGAAGGACCGCCCGGACCAAGGCACTTGGTTTATCAAAACAAGTAAACCCAAGAGAACGGACAGTACCTATCCCGGCTGTTATAAGACGTTCGGGAGTCAGATAATTCATGATGTCCATGCATTTATCCTTCTCCACAGCAAGCACGTCCTTGTAGATTTCTTCAGTGAGGACAGGATCAGGGGTTTTGCGGGGAAAAGCATTCCACTTGCGGGGAATCAGACCGTCCGGGATGGACACGAAGAAAAACCGGTCTTTCCACCCTTTGATCGAAGTTGGGTTTCCTTTGAACAGGATGTGTCCCGTTCGGGCACTAGTGGCCAAATAGCCATGGGTTTGTTGGGGGGCTACTTTGAAAAACTGGTGGAAGAGTTCTAGGGTTGGTCGGGCGCCGGCATCTTTGCAACGACAAATGAAAGCCGCCATTGCTCGATAAGAGTTCGGCATAATCTGGGCCGGTACAATTTCGTAGAAATTGAAGAAAGAAATGAAGAAAGGGTGTAGCGGAAATCTAATGCCGGCCCTAATTGAGTCAAAGTGGACTATGGTCATTCCGGGCCTATGACGCATTGGATGAAGCCCGGCTTGCAAACGGAAATCCACCGGGTCAGGGATAAGGGCCGGAATTTCGGCCCTATTGTGAGAGGTCAATTTTTGCCTCCTCTCCCTAATCAATTTTAGGTCAAGAGTGTGGCGAGGAACATCGTCGGGACGTCCGGCCGCCATGGAGGCTATTTCATCCTCGGATTTGGTGTCATCAGAACCCTCACTGGAGGAAGAAGAAGTGCTAGGGAGGTCCTCCGCCTCAGCCCTGGTATTCGTCGCCGTCTCGGTAGAAACACCGGCAAACGGAACTGGGATGGCATCTACAATGGCGGTGTCACGGTCATCTCCATGAGAGGCCATCTCCGAATCAGAAGAATGCTCTGTGGGGCTAATCTCGATCGAAGCCAGAAATGAAGATGGGAAATCCAAGGTTGGGAAGTTACCTGGGCAAGGGAAGCAGGGGGAAATTTGCAGAAGAAACAACGAAGGCTAAGGAATTGCAGAGTCGAAACCCGGAATTGAGGAGTTAAGGGCTAATTTATAGCCTTGAAACCGCCGTGTCGAGAACCAATCAGAGAGCGACACATCACTAGGGGCATTTAAGCTAGACACGCGTCTAATGAAAAGACTAAACGACGGTTATCATGATGAATATGGGGAAATGAAGCGGCAGCCGTCAAATCGCAGCATGGGGAACTGATTACTTCTGTACCCCGATCGCCATTCGGGGTATTATGACATTGGTATACTTCCTGATGCACTCACTTCGTTCGAGACATCGGAAGTGGGGGACTTGTGTTGGGATATTGACCTAGAGGCCCAATACCCAGATCGGGAAGGCCCAAGGTATCCGGCCCAAGTAACAGGCCCATCACTTTATGATGAGAAGATCCAGTAAGGAGACATACCGAACGGGGTTCGGCCCAAATAAAGGTTGGCCCAATAAGAAGACATACCGAACGAGGTTCAGACTATATACTATACTTGGGCCAATTTGACAGCATCCTCAGTACGGACCAAGATCCCGTTCGAGCAACGGCCAACCAACAAGTGGCCAGGTGCAGTTAATGCCAGACTATGACATCAGCAAGTGGAAGTATGGATGACCAAGTCGGTGGAACAACGGCCAATCAGCAAGAGGCAGCTCATGCTCTCCATTAGTATAAATAGAAGGTTTTCAAGTCATTGTAAGGGTTAGCATTTCAATACTCAAGCTCTAGAATAGCATCATTTGCTCTTATTTCTTGTATTAAGGCATAGTTTCCGACTTATCGATCGGGAAATCCCTTGTAATCAGATTGGTTAATTAATACAAGTGAGCTTTCGAGTTTTAGTTAGTTCAGATCTTATATTTTCTCGTACACCTTGATTCTGGGTCATTCCTGATATATCCAAAGTTCGTGTTGGGCTTTCGGATCTACGGGACTTACCCTCAACAATGGCTTTTGACTATTTTTAATTCATATTTAATGGAAGGGTAAGAATCGAATGCAAAAATAGGTATGTTTCCAATTGGACTCATATGGTCCTATTTTGAAATAAAAACATAGCAAGTCTTATTTTAGGTTTTTGCCATAGTTTTAGTCCTATTTGAACTAATTTCTATTCATTAATTAATCTCCTAAAGTGTTCTTCCTTGCGGTGCGCGTTGCTATATACTATCGTAGGATGTAATACTTTTGTTTGATTACATTTGGATGCACTTTCATGTTCAGAGGTCTTTTCTTCTTAATCGTCGTTCTGATGGCTCATCAGGAAACACTACCATTAAAATGTCCAAAATAACCTTATACATATTATTTTTAATCTATTACATATTATCCGTTACATGTTAAGCGACTGTTGCGGCTCATTTTCTATGACAGAATTTAAGTTTAATCATTGGATTTTTACTGGAGTTGATATTATTTTTAAGCTATTGTAATCTATTGTTTTTAATCTATTTATTAAGTTCAATATGTACCGACCAAAGTTTGCAAGAAGTGAAACGCGTTCCTACTTTCCAGGAATCCTAGTGATGGAGTATATGGGTCTGAGCCCCGGGACCCACATACTCAGAAGAACAGAAAGCACAAGACACTGAGTGGTGCCCTCGTCGGCCAAGGGACCCCCGTCGGCCGGGAAGGTACCAACTCAGAATATGGTCCTGAATCCAAGGAACCCGGGTGCCCTCGTCGGCCGCGCCCTCGTCGGCCGTGCCCTCGTCGGCCACACCCTCGTCGGCCACGAAGACCTCACAGAACCGGATTCTACACTTACTCATTTGTACGGCCCATTAGTGGCTTTGTATTCAGCCCAGTAGCGGTCCAGTTGTAAATGGGCCTCCCAAGCCCTTGGGAGCCCAGCCCGTATTTTCTCTATAAATACTCCCCTTGGGAGTAGTTATAGGGGTTACAAATTCATTCTATTGAAGCATATTACTGCACTTCTCTCTCTAGCTTTCACTTCTCTCTAGATATACTCTATCACCTAGGCATGACTTTTTCTTTTTAATCTATTGTAATCTATTATTTTATGTGTGTGTTTGTGTATGTTTATAATGAAAATTTAAATGATGAATCAATTTGAGGGGTAATATATGAAGACTTTAGGAAATTATGTGTCCAACTTTTATTTTGAATTATGAATAACACTTTAGTGCCATTATATGTGTTCAAAGTTTGATTCCATTCGACTTTTAAATCTTAGACCTCAAGTTTGGTTTTTGCATGACATTTTTGCCCTCGAAAGATAAATTAGGAAAATGAAATAAAAGATTTCTTATATTTAGCTTATACGTATACTTTTATGTTTTCATTATGCTAGAGAATGTGTGAGTGCCTCATGTTTGATGCATGTGTATCAGTGAAATATTAGGGTGTTATGATTGTAATAAATCACCAAAAATGTTCCTTTTTACTGAAAAATCAGTTCCTTCTTCATTCCAATTTAACTCAAGAATTTTCAAATCGATTCGATGGAAGAGGCCAAAAGGTAAGTTAAAATTAAATGTTGATGCATCTTACTTACCTAATAGCGTCGCAGGAGGAGCTTTGATGATGAATGAAAATGGAGAGTTTCTGTTCGTCATTCAGTTTCCGTTGAGGGTGACATCGAGTTTGGAGGCGGAGATTCTAGCAATGGTTACAACAACACGATGGGCAATAGATGCTAGTTTTGTTGAGTTCTAGGAAGAGATTGATGCTGCGGAGGTTCTTGATTACATTTTTAGCAAGCGGACTGGGAGCTGGACGGTCTCTATTTCGTTGCTGATAGAGATGACAGACCCGGCAATGAATTTCCTTCATGTACATGAAAAGAACATTTTGGGCACTCATCAAATTTTATTTTTACTCCTATACTCATTTGGGAATTTCCTCATCATGATTTTACTCTATTCTAAGTCACTTCTTGTGCCCAAGACTCCAAGTGCATTAAAAAGTTTAAACATACGCAATTTGACAAGGTGAAACAGAGAGTGGACAAGCCCTAACTTGCTCGTTTCAGAGGCTGGGCCGCTGGGGTCCTAGATGCGTTACTTCTTTTGCCCAGTAATCAAAACCTATTATTGCAGAATTCAAGTTATGAAATGCCAAGAGAATTGAGAGTTTAAGTAGAACAGCTTTTATTTTAGGGTACACAAGATATATTCATATGTACACACATCACACAGGAGGAAAGGGCGGCAGAATACAAGCTATGTACAAGGAAATATGAGTAAGGCTAACTAACGAAAAGGCCACTTCATCCTTGATGGTAACAAACGACAGAGGTGAATACCAGAGATTACGCCGAAAGAGGTATCATTATGCTGAAAATGCTTCTTACATCCGGTTCGCCGTGTCCAAATTGCTTAAAGCAAGGCCCGGTTTCTTTGTTAACAGCGACATTAAAGCTCCGCCATGTACCCTCCCTTCGCCAATTCTGACTGGGCTGCTATTTTCCTTAACATCAAAACATTTGCTTCCAAAGGGACTTGACTCCGTCTGTATGATGTCAACATCCATGACATCATGAGTAGCAGTAACATTCAACTTCTCGGGTTTATTGTTAGGTGTTGTATCATTTACTCTAACACTGATGTTGGCCCCGCCATGTACCCGGTTGTCCTGCACTAGAGCACCATGTGATGCACATAACCCCATTTTACCCCTAGCCAGTGAGTTACAAGGACCATCACCTGTGCCAAAATCACAACCAGGTTGACCCCACGAACACCTCTTTCCTCCACCATGTGCCTTGCAGAATTCAGTGCTCCCTTGGGCACTTTTCCCACACCCTTCAAACTTGCATCTCTTCCCCCCACCATGACGCACACAAAAATCAGTTCGACCCCTTGCGCTCTTTGTGCAGTCAGTGACGGCACACCTCTTTCCTCCCCCATGTGCCACACAGTAAAGAGTCCCTCCGTGCACACTTTTTGGGCAAACCCCTCCGTTTCCTTGGAAGGAACATCTTTTTCCTCCACCATGGCCCTTGCAATAGGGTGTGCTCCCCTCTGCACCTTTTGTACACCCTTCAAAGCTGCAGCGCTTACCACCCCCATGCGCCTTGCAGAACATTGTGCTGCCTTGTGCCCCCTTGGAGCATTGCGGATATTGACATCTCCGGCCACCGCCGTGTGAAATGCAGAGTCCAGAAAGGCCTTCGGCACTCTTGGTGCAGTTCTCTCTCTGGCATCTCTTGCCTCCTCCGTGTCGAATGCACAACCCGGATTTCCCTCTGGCGGCACGGCTACAGCCCTGGTGGCTGCAGCGACGGCCACCTCCGTGTGCGATACAGAAATCTGTACGTCCTTCAGCACTTTTTGTGCATCCTAGGAATTCACACCGACGACCACCGCCATGAGCCTTGCAGAATGCAGTTCGACCCTCTGCTCCTTTGTGGCATCCGGATTTCTGGCACCTCCGACCACCACCATGGGCAATGCAAAGGCCAGAAGCGCCTCTTGCTCCTTTCACACATCCCTCGAACTGACACTGTTTGATACTACTACGTTGCTGCTGCTCTAGCTGATTTGTCACCCCAGAAGTACAGGTTAAAGAGCTCTTGAGGTTAGTCATGAGACTCGAACAGGGGTCATGAGAAGCAAGATCTTGATTGGTAAAGTGACTAGCCTCAGTGCTATTCGCAGTCTGTAATGGATTGAAAACACCCCCACTTTTCCAAGAAGATGACATTGATCCTTCATCTACTTTTACTCCCACTGTAGTGTCTGGCAGATTCATGGAACCACGTGACGAAGTAAAACATTGATTCGCAGTAGCAATACCAGATTCACTAGGGCCGCTGGAAAGACTCAGTTCCAGATCAACATTGACAGGTATATCAAAGGCAAGTTCTTTCTGACAGCTGGTGGACTTGATACTAGGGCTCGGTGACTTCTCATTGCCAATATGGAGAGTGAAATCCAATTCTAGGTCCATAGAGGACTCGGCATCAGTTTCTTTAGTTGAAGAAGTCGAAGTGCAGATGGTTGCTGTGGCTGAGCTCACGTTACTCTCAGAGGAGCTGGATGAATGGCCTAGGCCCAAACACAGAGAGGACCCAGACAGCTGGTTGATAGGTCCATCAATCAAGCTCCATTTCCTTTTGATTCCCTTTGGGAAATTACCACATGAGACAAAAGAGCTAAGAGAATCAAGTCGCAAAGTGGTATCTGCGCAACCATCTCGAATTCCCACTCCTATTTGAATTGGATTCTTCACACTATTATATGCATTCAAGGTCAGGTCCACAGCAAAATCAGAACTGTGGAATCTGGGATCCATAAACCTTGAATCTAAACCTTGACAAAGTTAGCACTGAGTCAAACCTTAAAAAAGTAAAAGAGCACTTAACCTGACTTCTGGGCTCACGAACAGACTAAATTAGTAACAAACTAAGAGCAACATGTCCACAAAAGAGCACATCCCACCCCCACTTACAAAACCTGATGTATCACGCCGATCCATTTCTTTAACAATTTAATCCTGACTGCTAAGTGTCAGCAATGACAATGCATGGAAAATATAAGCAATCTTGAAACCATAATCAGAAGATAATGACAAACCATCATCCTGCGTTATAAAGAAATAGGTTATGAGCAGCATAGGTTGCACCTTGAAAGTATAAAAACAGAGTGCAAACTGCAAAGGACACAAATACACTTAAAAAGAAAAGAAAGTTACAATAATAATGTCATCCTTATGAATGAAAAGAAAAGAAAACTAAACATCAATCTATTTAAGTAAAAATATGTAAGGGAAACATCAATTGATATCCACGTTACCACGTATGCTTTTTGTGTTGGAGAGAGATGAAGGGTGGTAGAACAGGTGCCTGAATGGCAGTTTTAGTGAAAGTTTAACGAGTATACTAACCCTAAATATGGTGCATATTGAATTACCTAGCATCAAATTCTACACATGTAACTCGGTAGGACCTTTTAGGGATTCAGAACTTGGGACAGTAACCCTTTGTTTTGAAGAAGAGAGCTTTTATACATAAAATGGACATTATAATCAACCACAATCTTAGACAAACAATATTCACATGAAACCCAAGCACGAAATAGCATCAATGTGTGTAACCATGGGCAACAGTGAATTACTCAGTTCCACTCTCGATATAGAGAACACCGCCACGGACTTTCAATGGTGTAGAATCTTATATCCCCCTATATGCTTTAACATGACTTATATTACTAGCACCACAAACACTAAACAATTTATAGGGCTTCAGCCCTGCTCACATCAATAGCATAGGCAATATGTAGGCTCACACATGCAACAAAAGCTGAAAACTCTTGAAACTCAAGCCACAAAATGAACAAACATATTCTTGCATTTGTTACATCCCTGGGGAGAAAAACTGGACACGAGGAAGGTTTTTATTAGCTAGTAATATATATATATATATATATATATATATATATATATATATAATTAGACGTTTACAGAAAAACTTTAGTTGGGAAATTACTCAATGGCTTAGCATATACCTGTTAGTTATTGTATTAGCATTGGGATATGGCCATATTTTATTAGAACTAGAGGTCCTTTTAGTTTCGGGATTCAGCTTGTATTCCCACCAATGACCATATATAAAAATGGTCATATTTAGAATAATACAACCCAGAATTTTGGAAAGGAACTTTGGGAGTTTTGGGTATCAAAAGGACCAGTCCTAGAGAGCTCAGGGTCTCAAGAAAAATACAAAAAAAATCAATATTTCTTAGCCCGTGGCATTCTTCAAAATAACACACGGACGAACCTCCTACCAGTGAACTCTAGGAATCATAGCACTTGAAGAACCAATGAGCTCAAGAAGATTATGCATCAACTGCTGAAGCACATTGGGCGGAAATTAGTCAACCCGGAAGACACTCAGTCACTCATTAGTCTGCAATCCAGCATGTAGTGGGAGATGGCACACTTTGAACAATGAAGATTCCAACTGGGAACCACACAACACTAACGTAGATTTTCCAACATACTGGATTAGATGATATCCTGATTTAGACGCACCATTGAGATTTGCATTGTAACATCGCACGTAGACCAACTAAGGATAAGTTAGTAGGCAACTATGCAAGGGGAGGCAAAACTATGGTATTAGCAAGTTACCAAAGACGAACCTCCGTTGAGTTGGCAGGCGTCTAAGGCCTATTCGCAAGCTCCAAGTTTGTTCCACATAGCAGAAATCCATTGCGAGAATTGGAAGACAAAGTTCGTTAGAAGTCCTCCTGTGGTTTAATTCTCACCTTTTTGCAAATATCCCAATTTCAGCACTTATGGTCAATATGTGACCCATCAAGACTACCCACAATCAATGACTTATCAAGATTCTTACTATCATCAAATAAATGGTAGGTTTTATGATTATGCCTTCAACCAAGGATCTTCCCTAGTTAAGGGTCAAGTGAAACTAGAGGTTATTATCCCCCCAACTATTCCACCATGTGATGCGAAACAAGTATCATGTAGTTCTGTCTTTTATTATTTGATTATAATTATTATTATTATTTATATTATTATTATTACTTCTATTGCCACTATTATCATTACTACTACTACTATTACTTTATTAGCTGATTTTGTTTATCATTTTTTTCTTTTGAAGGGAAGATGGTTGATGTATTTCTAGGATAGGAGGTGGCAATCTAGCATCTTTTAGACGTAACTTGTGCTAGTTGCTTTTTATTGTGTTTGTACTAATTGTTTATTCTTCATATATTTAAAATAACTTTTCACTTTTAATATTGCCATATTTTTATTCCTTGGTTTGTTGTTCACATATATGGCTTAAAAGAATTATTCATCACTTTTTATATTAATTCCTTACTCATTCACTCAAATAAATATATTCTTGTTCAACATTATTACTAGAATATTTTTATAAAGAATAACAAATTATTCTTTTCTTATTTAGTGAACGTAAAATTAATTTACACCGCAATATGCACCGTATCGGCCACAACCGCAACACCGCAACCGCAATATAAAACCATGTCGTGGAAAATAGCACGGTCATCTCAAGAACTAACTATGAAGCAGTTAGCTGTTGTATTTTCAGAAAAAATCAAAAAATGGGTCTGAACCCATCTCATCATCCCTTGAGCCCACCCACCCAAACTCCTTCGCTTTTCCCCTATTGGAAAATACAATAGTTATGGTAGCAAAGCCAAGAGCCAAATAACATTCTAAGCCAGAACCTAATTACCTCCCTACTTGAAGGCTCTTCATAGCAGAACAGGAAAGGGCATTTGTAATAAGATTGATGAAGCACGGTTCAGTGGACATTGTCGCAAACAGCTCTTCTGTTCCTTGGGCATGAACAAAAAGGAAGACACCTTTGCACTGCAACACGAAGAATCAGATTGCTCCAACTGGTATTAGATGACTTCAAGCTTGCTAACAGTGTAATGTTAAAGTTCTTTGGCAGAAAGCAGGATACAAGGAAGATTTTGTGGAGTCTTTAGTGAGTTTTGAAGTCTTATTATATTATTAGATCGTTTTGAGAAGAGTTTAGTTGGACAAATATCCAATAGTTTAGTAATTACCAATTAGTTATTCTATTAATGTTAGGAATTCCATGTACCGCCACCTTATATAAGGACTAAGGAGGGTCTTATTTATTATAAATTAATAATACAGACCAAACTTTTAGAAAAGAGAACTTTATGAGTTTTGGGTTTCAACAAAAACCAACCCTAGGGACTTTGGGATCTCAACTCTCAACAAAAATCCTGGTTCTTTCTACACTTTGGTTGACTGTGAAGTTGTTCATAAATCAGACTTCACACATATGTGTGTAGTCATACACGGAATGATCAAGTATAGGTTTCTGCAAATTCACTTTAAAACACAACTTCAATTGAAAGAACCTTATATGCATCAAATACGGAAGACAAGCTTAAAATAATAGAAAGGAAGGACATACATGAAATCATTAGAAAGAGAGGGAAAAATGGTCCAAACTATTACAAAACTTAATGAACTTCTCTGTATTTTATGTGCCTATGACGTATAAATCCAAAAGAAAATATCATGCAAGCATCTAATGTAACAGAGAGTTTAAACTTCAACTGAACAATTATTACCCTGCTGGGAGTTCAGAGATGTCAAATTCTTTAGGGTCAAGTTATTTAGCAGGTGAGTGCTCGGCAAAATCCTAGATCATACTGAGTAATCTACTGAGTTGGAAGTCGGAATGATTGACAAAATAGATTACTTGCTGAATTTTCGGAAATTTTCATTATTGGGTGATTTACTTTACTGGGTGCAACTGGGTTGGGGGCAAATCTGAAAGATTTCAAATAAAAAAATTGACGAATGCATAAGATTAACGCTTTAACTACTTATAGTATTGCAATAAGTACACAAGGTCAGAAACTCATTTACACCTTAAAAACCCCACGATTGATGTTTCTCTCTGACAAATGTTGTCCGTCCCTAAATAACTTATTATCCCTGATATCTTCCCAAGTGAGCATTTCAAAATCCATATACTATTATTCAATTGATATTCAAAAACACAGTAACAGCACCAATAATGAACACTAGATCCGCAAAGATGAGAAAATTTAAACATTCCAACTATCGCGGAAGCAAAACTTTACATTTCTTCTCGTCCAAACACGACAGCAACATGAAAAGGGAAGTCTTTAAGGTGCAAGAATAATATAGATATACAGATTCGGCTGAAACAGTAAAACAGAGCTCAGGTAGCCATGGACACGGCTAAAATTCATAACTTTTCCTGGGGGAATAAAAAATAAAAAACAAACTACCAAAAAACAACTGATTAACGGATTGTAAAAACCACCGGATGATATGAATCTGAAGAAAACATCTCAGAAGCACTAAATCGCACGAATCAAGAATCAAGAATCAAGAAAGTACCTTTCCGGGGTTCAATTATTTCACCAGACAAGAAGCGTTTCAGTGAGAGTCAGATGAGAAGTTACTATATCGATGGCAAATCAAACACGTAGCAGTTATTGGTATGTCCAGAAGGAGAAAGAACAGGGCTTTTTATGAGCCGGCACAAAGCGAGGGTAGCAGGAGCCAGGAAGTGAGGACAAAATGATGAGAGAAAGAAAGAGAGAGAGAAAAGAAGGGTTCTCGCGCGTGCGTGTATGGCGTCCGCAAATGCAGTTATATACACGGGTGCGCGTGCGGTGAGAGAGGCGCGTGAGGAAGCGGAAATGCGCGGTGGTACCGAGTCATCGCATAATAAAGCGGTGGATGTACGTTGAGCCTGGGCCCACCAGCATCTTTCTAGCACACCTAGCGTGGTCGCTCCTGCGTTTGCTCTCGTCTCCACGCCCCTGCCCGGCGTACGTTTATGATTCGACGGATATTATCTGCCAATGCCGCGCGTGAGTGCTGTAATTCCTGCCCTGCGACTGGGGTATAATTATCAGACCACTCATGTATTTGCCTATTTGGGCCGTACAATACCTGAGACATTTTTTTCTTCTCCTGCGAACATTTTTAGAATCTAGCTCATCAGACGGAAGATTACCCTGTTTGAATCCCACTAGGCACATTTAGGGGAAAGGAAGGTGATCTTGTTTCTAACGATTTTTTTTACCTTCACGGAGTTGCTTAGCGGCTGAGAAAGGAGATGATGATAATTAAGGTAACGAGTTCGTGTGGTGGGAGGAGCGGCTTGAATGGTGGTGTAAGTCATGCTGGATTCGTTCTTTGGAGTCAGTACTGACGAGACCGACTGTGATCAGATTCGGATTTAAATGTCTAGGGGCTTTTGAGGGTAGTTCATAAACTCTAAGATTAGAGAACCCCAAACACCGACATCTGGATAATAAAAAAACAATAGGGAAGTGAAGTTAATGTACATAATGTTGTGACTTTGAAAAAGGGACAACATAAAGTGAACGAAGATGTCGATAGAGTGACTTTTTATATTAATATCGAAAGCTTATACAAAGAGTTCCTTTGGTAAGTGTGGTTTCGGTTTATGAGGCTTATCAGCCAAATTTTTAACCAAACACGTAACTTTTGATTTCGTTAGCTGAATCGTGTAATTGTAATAAGAAAAAGTAAGGTTGAAGTTTCTTTTAGAAACAATGGCAAAAATAGATCTCTCTGCTCTTGATCGGACAAAAGTAAGACCTCATTTTGAATTGGACAAAAAAGAGACTCCTCCCAACCGAAAACTCAAAAATGCCCCTGATATATATAATTAGAATTAATCTCATCTGATGACCTTTTCTTCTCCTCTTCGGCGTGACTCCATCTTCCTTGTCACTCATGTACAGCTTCCACGCCACCGCCTCCTCGTCGTTGCCTCCATCCACTACCTCCGTCTCTAAAGGTAAGTCGCTTGGATTGAATCTTCTCTCTTCTTCTCATTTTTTGGACGGTTAGCTTGGTAGATCGGAGATGGAAATCCATGACCATCTTCATATTTTATGATGGAGAGGGCGGCGATGGAAACGGCCGATGGCCTCTGCAAATGGCGAGCGAGTATATGAGCTCTAGAATGTGAGATTGAGATGAACTAGCGCAAGCGGTGATCGGTGGGGTGGGGGGTTGGGTGGGGGTGGTGTTGGTTAGGGTCATTGTGGAGTGGCGAGAGCTAGTGTAACACTCCCAATTTCCCGCCCAAAAAATAATTTAAACTTGCTTGATTCATTCGATATTGATAAAAATCTTGCAGCGGAAATAATTTAAATAGAGAAACGGGTGTTACCGCCACATCCGGTCATCTCTTAACCGGATGCACAGGCAACTAAAACAAAACAGTCATAATTAATTGCAATATGAAGAAACAAATGTTCAACGTAACTAAAATGTTCATTCATGTCTAGGTTTTACTAAGGCATCTAGCAACCGCTCTCAGACGCATGCAATCAACAATCAACGTAGTCATCATCACCTGCACAAATAAAGTGCAGAAAACAAAACAAAGAAAAGAAAACAAAAATTAGCTTTAGAGCTAAGTAAGTACTACCCAACCCCGTAAAATAATCAGGTTTGGCGAAAACTAATTTTTCATATAATACTATATAAAAATAACACACTCCGCCAAAATTCCTCTCTTTGATTTTTCTCAAAATCGCTTCTTTATTAAAGTGCTCAACTTTACTTCGAAAATACTATAATAACTCTTCTCTTATAATTCCTCAAAATTCACTTCTTCTCTATCTTTCTAGTAATTTAGAAGGGCAGTGCTCAACACTCTGATTGAGCCCGGTGGTTACGTTATTATGTACGGGCACCCCGAGACTTTTGCCGTTACCACAACTGCTAATGGAAACAAAACGACTACCTTAAGTGTGCACACCCCCTAAAAGGGACTCCAAGCCCTCTGAGTAGTAAGTCGTCACGAGTAATCGGGACTCAGTCTACCAACTACCCCACCCTTAAGTGTGCACACCCCCTGTCACTTTCATAATTATCAGAAAATTGTTACTTCTATTATTGAAAGGCATTTAAAATTTTATCTGATTCACTTAATTATTAAAATGTCCCTGTCATGGCATTTTATCTGACTAATAGTAATGATTTTTTTATTTAAAAAATTTCGGAGTATCACAACTAGGTTACAGTGGGGTGTCGCTGCCTAGGGTTTCAGGGCGGCGGTGATAGGATTGTTACAGGGGAATTGGTGGGGACAGGGGGGAAGGCTATTGAAGGGGGTGGGTGGTGGCGGTGCCACTGGGGAGGGTGCTGGAACGAACTGTTTAGTGATTCAGAAAGCCTAGATGTTGGTGGACAGGTGCTTTGTTGAGAGTTCAAAATGTCCTAAAAATTTAACACATATTATCAGGCAGGTTTAAAACTACAGTTAATGTGATACAACTTCAACATTCAACTTTAGGTAGCCTTACTAGTTCTTCCAACACTGCAGTAGGTACTTGGGTAGTGTGGATCATAGTGTCACCTTCAACATTAACTTTAGTAGCCTGTGAAATGACATTAGTAATCACATTAGAAAAGAACTTGTACTTGACAAGGGTGAACAATGTTTCAAAAAGAGTCCAAACAACCTGGGATGTTTTCTGTTTGCATGTGGATTTGTTATGTCCAACCATGCCACATACACTACATTTCTTGAGTTGACCAGTTTTACCAAGCTTATGTTTCAGTCTTCCTTCCTCAATCTCAGTTTCAGCAACTCTTCTTCTCTTCTTTGGCTAGCCAGGTTGTGCTTTGTACTTAGGAGGAATAAGTGGTGGTAATCCAGATTTGTGCCACTACTCAGATGAGTTATGGGCATAATAGCAGGTTCATAGGCCCTAAGATATCACTCCACTATGTAGCACTTGTGCACAAACTTCTCCATTGCTTCTCCACTCTTCCAAATGCAACAAACATCATGACCGCATGACAGCCCAATGAGGTCCCATCTCTTACAAGAGTAAGTATGTGCTAACAAATCCACCTTGAATTGCCTACAATAGCAGTCCTCTACTTCATTTATACCATATGTGACTTTGTAGGCAATACATTCATTTGCCATATCTTTTGCTTCTTCCAGAACTTTGAGAATTTAAGACAAATTTGTAGTGGGCTCTCTCTCATCTTATCTCTATTTTGTTGCATCCTCACCATCAAGTAAATCCTAAGGATTTCACACATTGTTAAATGATCTTGTCCCTAACATTTATTATTGAGCTATTCCAGGACTCGCACGAATTATTCAACAACATATCACACTTTACAAATGTGTTAAAAAACCCCTACAATATTGGCTTGGGTCTCAGGAATCTAACCATTTAGCAGCACCAGTGCTAAGCTTCTTCAACTCCTCCATGCGTTTCTGAAATGCAGCCTTTATTGTTGCTTTTCATACAGCCCAAAACCTTTCTTTCAGTTCTTGCCCACCAAACCTGTCCTTCACAAAGTTTGAGTGCATATGTCTAACACAAAATTTGTGTTCAATCCCAGGGAGAACCTCTTCAACTGCAGGTAGTAGCCCCTTTTGCTTACCTGATATGATTGTCCATGACATGGGATTTGATGAGATATCCAAATCTTCATACATCAAGTATTCCAAAAAACCATGACCAGCTATCCTTCAATTCCCCTTCCACGACAGCAAATGCAATTGGATAGAATTGAGTTGTTAGGAGCAACTCCAATGGCAGAAAGTAGTTATCCTCCTTTCTGAGAACCTTTAGGTGACAACCATCTAGCCCTATAAGAGGTCTACAACCACTCAAGAAACCTTATTTGAAAGCTCCATAAGCAATGTACAATCTCAAGAATCTGAACCTCTCGTTCACAGTGAAGTCACCATCAAGCTTCATTTTCATTGTTGTTCCAGGATTGGTCCTTCACAATAGTCCCACAACAAATCAAATTTCTTAGAATCATCACTTTCCAATTTCTTCATTGCCAGTCTCTTAGCCCTGTAAGATGTATGCTTATTGAGCTTACATTTTCACTTCTTTTGCACATGTTGTTAAAACTCCTTTCTACCCCAGTTGTTGTTGATCTTAAACTCATCTTCATACACTTTTGCAAGAAAACTTGAGGTGATGGTCTTATTCTCATGTTGGTCTCCACATGTATGCTCATTAAAGTAAGTCTTAACTGTGAAAGGACATTTGAGGTTACTTTTGGACCCAAATATGGTCCAGTTACAGTGTTGGTGCCTGCACACTGCTCTAACCCTTCTGCTTTCATTTTTCACAAATTTTATATCCTTCATGTTCTTTGCTTCTTGGTAGGTAACAACCCATTTGAAATCAGCACTACTCCGAAACTTCATACCAAGGCCAAATTTAAATCCATCCTTCTTGAAGTCTCTTTCTTCATACACACGACCTTGATAAATCCCCTCATTATCAGAATCTGAAGCCAGACTTCTCAAATCATCTTCAGAATACACACAATCATCCTCTTCCAAGTCTTCCACTCCCCACCCTACAAACTCATTGTCATGGTTGTTGTTCATGGCACTCGTGGTAGTGTCTTTACCCTTATCTTCACCTCCAGCAAAATATATGCTATCTTCAGATGTCTCTCCCTTTGAAGTAGATGTTGAGTTGTTGTCATCATTATAGTCATCTATCTGTTCCAGCTCATCTGGAATAAAAGAAGACACATTGACGTCGTAATTCCATTGATCCTTGTTGATATGCTCCACAAACATCTCTATCTCTCTATTTTCTGGAAGCTCATAACATATGTTGTACATGTCTTCATCTGTCATTATTCTTCTCACGCTATGAAGTTTCCCGGAACCATATTTCAACCAGAAGATAACATTCTTGGAGCAGAACCATAGCTTCTTCACTAACTTTCTTAACTCTAAGATACTTCCCTCCTCACTGTTGAAGTAATCAATGTACTCTACTCTCCAATTCTTATATTGAACAACAAGTTGAAGCACCAAATCTCCAACATAGTACATATTGATTGTGTAAGTATGTCTCTCATCCTTAGTATCTACAAAGCATAACAAGTAATACCAGTACTTCATTGTTCAACAAACCATAACAAATACAATCAAAGATAAATCAACACCACAAAGCAGGAGTGCAGAGCACTTTACATTCTATGCTACCAATATTATATACAAGGGTCCTTATATATAAAGCATAAGCAATAACACCAACACTTAACATCAAATTCGTATATGTAAATGAGTGTATGTGAAGTTCAGATACTACACAACCCATAAATGTCAGTCTTTTCCGTTACAAAACTTATACAACAATGTATAAAACTTTGGTTTGGGTACTTACACTTCGGAGTGGCAGTTAACCCATTTAATCTTTGACTGGTCATCCTTCCTCCGTCACGGCTTTGACCTTCAAGCGAAAAGCTAAGCTTCAATATTTGAGCGCCATGTCCAACAAAATGTTTTTCAGGCAAGTTTCGAGGTTTAAGCAAAGGATTTGAATTTGAGAGTGATAAACGTGATAAAGGCTTCACGTAAAGAAGGTTGAAGAGATAGTTACGGGTTTGGGGATTTCAACCTAAAAGATGAGAAGTTACACGTGTACCCCCTGATAAAATGGAAGATCGAACGCTATTACTTGGACTTTGAATGGCGGGAGCAACACTTAATGTAAGTGGGCCAACTCGGGGGTGTAATTTGAAATCTTAGAAATACAAGTATGAGATTTCAATTCGGCGGATAACAGAAGGACCATATATGAAAGACCAGACACTGTTACTTGTACTTTTATAAAGCATACTAATTAATTTTCAAAGCACGTTAATAATATTTTTAAAGCATACTATTTAAATAATTCTTTGGAGTTGCATTTGTTCAACACTATTCGTGTTTTGACTATTTAGTGTTGATAAACAAATTAAAACTTTTTTATTAAATGGAGAAGAAAAAGAAAATTGTTAAAAGAAAAAGAATATATATCCGGGTAAACACTTCCACAATTCCATTGGTGAGGAGAGAAAAAACAGCCCAAACTATTAAGGGTTTAGCATTATAAAACTATATACTTACACTTCCTTTATTCGAAATGTATGCATAGGCCATGAACACATCCTTGATCTAGAGAGAAGTTCACAATCAAGATTTGTTTTTTGCTCCTTTTTTATTGAAACGTAAATATATATTAACATTGAAAAAATATACAAATTTTATAGATAGACGATCTTTGCTGAGGATGTCACATCACCATGGTACAATATAAAAATATCATAAAGACATCGTGAAAATATACACTATACAAAACCTTATAAACAAGATGCAAGATGCTTGATTTTGCAAATCATGATACAGTAGCATTATTGGTTCTCCACAAAGTGCAAATTATGCAAAAGAAGACAAATGAGATAACCTTATGAAATCATGGTTGTCCATGTTTTTGAAATTTTAAGAAATGAAGAGTCAGCCAACATGGAGACCTTCCAACAAAACATGTTTTCAACTTATCATATAACCTAATTTTAGGGCATCTTCCCAACTTTTGATCGTTTGATTAATACGGAGTAATTCATTATTCTGGTTTATAATTTCTTCTTCCTGCATACTAAAAGCAGACTGAGGACATTTTTATCCACGCACAGGAATGGATTCGGATTTCTTTCCGAGCGATCGAAGTTCCGGCACCGAGCCGAACTTCGCGTTCGCCTTCAATGACAGCAACTTCTCAGACCGGATCCTGAGGATTGAGATCTTGCCAGACTTGCCGGACTCCAAACCAGGCGACGAAGGTTGTAGCAGCATCCTTGATTGGGCCTGCAAGCGCAAGCGTCGTAGGGAAGAAATGATGAAGGATAACGGTACGTTTTTTATGTATCCTGAGCGTGCGTATCAAATCGTCCAATCCACTGCCCCTATCAGTTTGTTCATGCGCTTCTGGTTAATTATGTGAATATTTGAAATTCAGCTTCCGAAATGAATTTGGTTATGCTTTGTACCCGAACTGACTGGTTGCTTGAGAATAGTTTGTGTAGCCAGAGACCATATTTTTTAATCTTTTGGGCTATTTGTCAGTGAGTCCCTGGGTGAGGATGTGGGAGGTGTCTGCCTATCTGGTGAAGTGCTCTGCTGCCCCCATATGAGATTAATCATTTCAGAGAAGCACATTGGAAAACAAGCTGCAAAGAAAACACGAGGAAAGTAGTTTTCAGAAAAAAACTGAAGTGATATGGGTTATATAATAAAGTACTCCGTAAGAACTAGTCATACTTATATACTAATCATCCTAATTTGAGAACTGAAAACCAGCCACTTTTTCTAGTGTTTTCCTAAAAGAGGAAAAACACAGAATATATGATATTGAAGAGCCCCTAGGAAGTAGGAAGTGACTTCAACATGAAAATAGTTCCTTATGGATTCTCATTTAGGCCACACATCATGGATCACTAAATCTAACATGGAAAAGAGTAAATATTGACTTTCTAGAGCGGGCTGATTTTCGTTGCTTTTTAAGAGACACAAAGAATGATCTAAAGACTCATGAGTAGATACATCTAAAACCATATGTTTAGTCTGGACTAGCTTATATGGTCCAAAGTTCCAAACCATTATGGAATATTGATGAGACTAGGAGATGCAGTAGACACATGGAATGAGATCAGGAGAATGAAGGTACTACAGGCCCAAAGTCACATGGATCGCAGTACGATTCGGTACGCGGTACGAAAACGGGAACGCGGATCGCCAAAATTAGAAATCTTATACGTAGGGGGGTAGGCTTCTTCAGTACGCGATTTCGGTACGTGGTTCGCTGTACCCTTTGTTTAAACAATTAACTTCTACAACTTCAATAACATTAAACAAACTTAACCATGTTTGCAACGACAATAAAAGAATACTGATAAGGACTAGAGTAGTAGAGCAGAGTCAGTAGACTAAGTAGTAGAGAAGAGGTGCAGAGAGTTTGATATGCTGAGTACTGAGGTAAGGCCTTTAAATAGTGAACTGTGAGTGAACTTGCGTCGTTTCAAGTGTGTCGTTTTGAGTGAACAGAAGTGTGAAAGTCTGGAAATACAACCGAACAAGTGCGTCGTTTCATCCTCCAAGGTCGCCGACCTTTGTTCTGAAGAAATTGGTGGAAGCTTTGAGTGGCCTGCGTCGTTTGCAACTTCAGGTCTCCTGCGTCGTTTGCAACTTCAGGTCTCCTGCGTCGTTTGGCATGCCGGAACGAGTGCTGGAAGATGAAGCCTTCGAACCAACATCGCGCAATACACGAACTACCCAATCGCAGTCATGAACCAAACACGTACTGTACGCGATTGTACCACGATTGTACCGCGATCCGGTACGCGCGATCCGGATCGGAAATCGCGGGTAGTTCTGCGATCCCTGTACCTATGTACAGGCCCTGAGAGCACCATCAAGTCAAAGGCTCAAAGCACATGTTTATACCACCATTTAGTTAGAGAAAAATTAATAGATATAGGATGGATTTCGATGGTAAGGTTATCGTGTGTAGATGATTGATAAATTGATAGAAGGTATTACTGGTCATGTGGTTCGAGACACCTATGCCAAATTGCCAAGAATCCAGAGACGAGACATTAAACTTCAAGACATGAGTTGTGTAGGCTGTACCAACATGCACGATAGATTGGTTCGATTCCTTTGTGTAGATGAAAGGTGTTAGTGTGTAATAAACAACAGATGGATTCAAACAAAAGTGTCACCAGTGAAGAATGGGGACTTTATTTCTGATCCTGTTGCTTGGACCTCATTTTCTCAAAGAGGGGGCTACCATGCATCATCCATTAGTTGTCCCCCCTGTGCTAGGGGTTTTAACAATCTTCATACCATAGAAAATTGCCTCAGCAGGAAGAAAGACCCCCTATAGTATAGTAGACGGTATCTTCTCAGTAGTACGTACTACGTGAAGGCGTGAAGCCAGGGTTGAGGAATCACTTGTGGGACACTAGGCCAGCAATTATATGGAGGTTGCCCAAGTACGTCTAGTGAATATTTCCTTCAAAGTTTAAACTTAGTCCATGGCAAAACATGATGTCCAACACGATAAAGATTTAGCTGTAGTCTTTTCTATTTAAAAGTAATCCGCTACTTTCATTGAAACAACAACAACATCCAAGCCTTATTCCCAAAAGATTTTGGGGTCGGCTAGCATGAATTGATCCATGGTATAAGCGCTAAAAAGAGAAGAAAGATACGAAAAATAGAAAAAGGTACGATAAAATGGATAAGATAATGATACATATAAGATAACAATAACATAAGAACATAGAAAGATAAAGAAGGTAAAAGAAAAGAAAAAGAGAGAGAAAAGAGATCACTCGTCCACACGAATATGCGCCCTCCACTTTTCTCTTTTCTAAACCATACTCGCATCCAACCCAAGAAGAAGCATATCGGTTCTGATATGAGCTTTTAAATTAAAACTCCCTAATCCCTAAAGACTACCAGAAAAAACGTCTTTCGATTCAAGATTCGAATCTCGATAACATTGTTTGGTACGGTTCTGTCACTCGGGATTTTATTTCAGATTTCTTTATATTCTGTGTGAAGGATGGAATGATTGACAATGACCCAACATATATCTCATTTATTCTCTTGCTCAAGTAGTCAACTGTCCCATTACTACGCATGAGATATTATATTTAGCCACCCTTCCTTAGATTTTTCCTACATGGGTCTCCATTGACATTAGTTTTATCTTTTATCTTTCTTATGCTCTTTTATCTTTTTATCTTTTATTTTTCTTATGTTCTTATGTTATTTTTATCTTATATTCATCTTAATCGTATCCATTTCATATTTTTATCTTACTTTATCTTTTTATTCTTCTTATCTTTCTTCCCTTTTTTGCTCTTTTATCATGGATCGATTCATGCTAGCCGACCCCAAAATCTTTTGGGAATGAGGCTTGGATGTTGTTGGGTCTCCATTGACAGCACTGATTTTGCTCAAGTAAAAACAATGAGGCGTATCACTTGTGTGCAAAGATTTGAAGTGTTTTCATACTCAGAAATATGTCTTAAAGGGACACATATGGGTTTCAGAAATATTGAGAACAATATAGTTTATACACAGGTCATCGGGAGAATGAGTTCTTGCAACAATCTTGCCAAAGTCGTCCTCATGGGACTTGAGACTCTTAAATCAATACCATGTTTCTTAGATTTATAATGGCAAGAGAAATAGTTATTTACAGAATTCAAGATTGGACTGGGATGGTCAAATGGGCCATATGACGCTTGGGCTACACCACACTAGAATATTGATTCCAATCTATTAGGTAGCTCAACTTAAGGTCTTACACCACACTAAAAATTTTGTCAAATTTTTCGGTGGGACTCATATAAAGATACAGGATGTCTTCAGTGTAAAGGCTAGCTTTCAGCCACATTGGTAGCATATTAACCATATTTCATTGGTCTTACATATACCATGCACCTTGGGATCGATGGATTTTTATAATGTGTTGGGCCAGATATAATCACCTCGTTCCCACTCACCCCGTTAACACTCTATAGTTAGAATGTTAAGGTGGTGTTACTTTGCTCAACAGCCACAAGTAAACATTTTGAGAACATAGAGGAACTACCTGAAATTACACTTTTTATATGGTTCTTACTCTATGGAAAGGCTCAATGAGAATATGAAATGGGGATTCAGTAATAAATACATTGTTTTTCTTGATTAATTAGTTTACAACATACACAAGTTTAGGGTTATAATAATCTAAAACATGTCTTAGCTTAGCTCCATTCCTAATAATCTCAATTGGTTGCGAGTTTATGACTTTAGTTTGAGTGTTATGGTGGTGTTAGTTTGTTTCAACAGCCACAAGTAAACTTGTTGAGAATTTAGAGGAACTGTCTAAAAATACACTTTTTCATTTGAGAATATATAAGGTCTCTGAAATGTTCTGCATATTGCAGTTCTTACTCTATGGAAAAACTCAAGGAGAATATGAAAGGAGGATTCAGTAATAAATACATTGTATTTATTGATAAATTAGTGTATAACATACTTTATGTGTACACAATTTTAGGGTTATAATAATCTAAAACATGTGTTTGCTTAGCTCATTCCTTGTAAGGGTTTGGGTTGGTGGCATATGGAGGTGAACAAATATTTCTACTTCTGTCTTGCATTTCCAAAATGAATCACTTTTTGTTTATAATTTCTCTTAAAAGTGCTTCTCTTAGTTGTTTAAAAAATCACTTATTCTTAAAATAAGTTCAGAGAAAAGAACATCCAAACCTTTCTCTCCTATATCCCGCATTGCACGAACTTTGTTATCATTTTAGCCTTTTCACTTGTTACTTGATTTCCGCACCTAAATGATCTACATCTTTTTTACTTTTCAGTTGTGGATGTGGTCTTTCACTGCGAGGAGCAGGTCTTAACCTGCAACACACTAGATTGTGAAGATGGCCCTCTCTATGAAAATTTAGATGATGAAGCTGTTGCTGCAGTTGAGGAAAAACCATCTACCACGGAAGCTCTAACAGAACACCCTGGTAACAATTCAATTTTTGGGTCGACTGCACTTAATGACTGTTTTTCTCTTAAAACGAGCTTTGACTAAATTAAAATGAAATCTCAATGATCAAGAATTGACCATTCCATCTTACGGAGTGAGTTATAATTCCTATTCTCATATTGCCTCACTATCCCGATAAATGTAACAAGAAATAATAATAAAGCGATATGTAATCATAAGGCACCGTGTTTGCTAGTTTTGTTGCATTATCAATCTTAGAGGATTTTGTAGGAGAAGAGGCTGCTCAAGGAAATGATTCATCATCGAATATGGATTGTTCAAGTGTCCTTGAAGTTAAGACTATACATATTAGCTCTCCGATATTGGCAGCAAAAAGTCCATTCTTTTACAAGGTTTGTGATTTTGTTTTTATGCAGTTCTGCTTCACCTATGTGGCCTTTATGGCTTCATGGTTCATTATCTTATTTTCCTTTTTCAAGCCTTGTTCTTGTGGAGTTGCAGTATCTTATCTTTCTTTGAAAACTTGGTCACCATACTTTTCCCTTATTCGTAGTTGTTATCTAATGGAGTTGGAGAGTCTGAGCAGCGGCATGTAACATTACAAATCCATGCCTCTGGTAAGCCAGAAATATATACTAATGTTTATTTTATTAATGTACAAATTTCATCGTCAGCATTTCATTTTTAGTACCATGGCTACATTCTAGAATGTTCACTTTCCTAAAGTAAACTTCTCAAAATTCTGGAAGAGTATTGAAAAATTACTATAGTACTCTTCGTTAATTATCTCATCTAGCTTTATTGATCTTATAGTGTAGAAAGAGGCCAAGTGAATCCTGAAAAGATAATGATTGATACTTGGTTATTTTTTGGCACATACAATTGAACCTCAGACGAGTTGGAGCCTTGGTGCACCGGTTAAGGTTTTTCTTTGTGACCGAGAGGTCAAAAGTTCAAGTCTTGGGAGCGGCCTCTTGTTAAAATTTGACAGAAGGCTTGACCTTGGTACACCATTGTGGTGGGATCCTTCCCCAGACCCTCACCTTGCGGGTATGCCTTCTTGCACCGGGTTTCCCTTTTATAATTGAATTTCAGACCTTGGGGGGTACAAATCAGCGAAGTCAAATCCAACCAGGCTGTTCCTTGATTTTCTAAACCAACTCATGTTTGGAACTTGAATTTCTCTATATGTTATTTGTTAGAGAATGTATCGAGTAAAAACTCAAATAATTATCATTTTTATGGTAAAAAGGGACAAATATGCTCATTTCACCTACTATGCCAAAAATATATACTAGTCCCATGACTCCCACATATAATCGAAATTCAGGCCTCGGGGGTACAAGTCACAACTCAAACAGGCTGTTCCTTGGTTTTCTAAACCAACTCGGATTTGGAACACTAATTTCTATTTACGATACGTAGTACTTGTTAGAGAACGTAGTGAGTAAAAAGTCAAACAATTACTCCCTCCGTCCCTTAAAACTTTGCCATCTTTCCTTTTTGGGACGTCCCAAAAAACTTTGCCACTTTCCCCTTTAATCAATTATTTTGTGATTTCTGTTATTTCTCTCTCCTCTGCACAAAACTCAACCACACAGTTTTTACTTAATTTGTCTCCGTGCCGGTCAACTTTGGCAAAGTTTTAAGGGGCGGAGGTAGTACCATTTTATGGTAAAAGGGACTATTATGCTTATTTCACCTACTATGCTTAAAATATAGACTTGTCCCACATCTTGAAAGAGTAGTCCTATTTTAAAAAAAAACTATCCGAAAATGTCATGTCGTAAATAGAAGCTAAGTTTTCATGTACATTGCCAAGTAGCTTATACAAGTTCAGTAGGATAAATTTGTTAAATTGAAAAATAATTTAAAAAATATATGAGTAAAGTCGCCAAACATTTTCTTGTGAATGAACGTGGGATCATATCCGGCCCATGTTCATCCTTTTTAACTGGTCTGAATCATTCGGCATGCTATCATATATTTTTATTAACTCCTCAAATGAGTCAGAGGAGCTCAATCTCACTGTGTCTGTTATGGAGCAGAAGAGGTTGCCTTTATGGACCTGCTGAAGTTTATGTATGGCAATATGTTATCAACAACAACTCCAACTGCTTTGCTTGATGTGCTAATGGCTGCTGACAAATTTGAGGTTGCATCATGCATGAGATACTGCAGCAGATTATTGCGAGATCTACCCATGACTTGTGAAACAGCCTTACTCTATTTGGACCTTCCTTCTACTCTTTTAATGGCTGAACCAGTCCAGCCTTTGACGAATGCTGCTAAGAAGTTCCTTGCTACTAGCTTCAAGGATATAACAAAGTCAGTTTCTCTGTCAATGAATTTCTTTACTTTTCTCATCAAGGAGTTTTGCTCTATTTTTGGCATCAACTCTCATTATCTAGGAATTAAATTATATTTTTCTCATCAACTCTCATCATCAAGAAATTTTACCACACTTTTATCATCATCATGGGAGTGGATCTAATTAGATGCTGTTGGCTTTTAAACCAACCAAAGTCCTTCTCTTTCCAACACTGTGTAAAGAAACTTAGCTGTTAATTGAAATGCTCAAAATAGACTTCTCATTTTTTCAATCTTTTACAAGGTTCCAAATGGATGTACTGAACTTGCCTCTTGCTGGAATTGAGGCAGTGCTGTGTAATGATGGTCTCCAGGTTGCATCAGAGGATGCTGTTTTTGACATTGTGTTGAAGTGGGCGCGAATCCATTACCCAAAGTTGGAGGACCGGCGCGAAGTATTAGGATCACGTCTTTTCCGTCTCATTAGGTTCCCATTCATGTCATGCAGAAAGCTGAAGAAAGTTTTAGGTTGCAACGACTTTGATTCTGAACTTGCCACTAAGGTCGTAATTGAGGCTCTCTTTTTCAAAGCAGAACCATCATACCGGCACCGTTCCTTAGCTGCCGAAGAAGCCAATACCTCCATCCATCGTTTTGTGGAGAGGTCATACAAGTACAGGCCGGTAAAAGTCCTTGAGTTTTCCTTGCCTCGCCCACAGTGTATCGTTTACCTAGATTTAAAGCGGGAAGAATGCTTAAAACTCTATCCTGTTGGCAGAGTTTATTCCCAAGCCTTCCATTTGTGTGGACAGGGGTTCTTTCTGTCAGCCCATTGCAACATGGATCAACTCAGTTCGTTCCACTGCTTTGGGCTTTTCTTGGGGATGCAAGATAAAGGGTCAGTGTCGTATGTCGTTGACTATGAGTTTGGAGCAAGGACAAAGCCAATGGAGGATTATGTGAGCAAGTACAAGGGGAACTACAAATTCAATGGCGGGAAGGCTGTTGGCTATAGGAACCTGTTTGGCGTACAGTGGGGTGCATTTGTTGCTGAGGATAGCCCTTTCTTCATTGATGGAATTCTCCATCTTCGGGCTGAGCTAACCATCCGACAGTCTGTGCGAGAGTGAGAGACAGACTTAAGAATGATAGCTGTTACGGAGTATTACTTTTTTGAAAAAACAACATATTTTGATAAAAAACAAATATGCGCGGTATATGTTAACTTTTTACTGAGATGAATTCAGTTGCTGTACATCCTCAAGACTTCAATTCAGTATATTTCCTTTTTCCCAAGTCCAGAAGATTAGGTGTGTGCGCTTGTTTTTGCTGACTTTGTTTTGCATTGTTTTTATCCTTTTCCAGATTTTTCTGAGGCTCATTAAAATAGTGGGAAGATGGGAAATATATTGGATTTCATTAAAATGAAACATATTACACAGTATGCATAGTAATGCCCTATGGGCTAAAAGTATTGGAAGCTGTGAATTTTATACTTCGGTAGGATTTTCACCGTCAGGGAATTTGATGGTGCTTGCAAGACCCAAGATGTTTACTACATTGTTCTGATGGAGTAATCAGAGTGATATCTGCTGGGTTCTTGTGATACAAATACGTTATATGGATCCATATTTTTCTACCATCTCCGTCTTACTAAACATTGCCATAAAAAACTATCCTCTCATTTCAAAATAACTAAATTAACGTTAATATCGTTTTTTCTCTTGTCTATAAAATGCCAATCAAAGCTTGACATAATTTTTAAGGACAAGGAATATATTATCTGTAGTTTTGTACTTTCTTTAGGAACATCTAACCCACCCCTCTCTTTTATCAGTTTATGGACAATACAACAGGACTTGCAGCATCTGAAAAAGTAGTAAAATTTCTAGTTTACTACTACAGTGCTGCAATGCACCATAGAGAGAGTGTATGAGTGTATATCTCATAAAGTACTATGTTTAATCTTACAGGAAGGCAATATGTTTTACACGATAGGAAGAGTCGAAGAGGAGAGAAAATTAAATGTAGAGTTCGAACCTTTTTTCATAAATTACTATGTACTATTTTCAAATGTGGTTATTTATAGTGATAGTAAATGTTAAGTGCACAGTGCACTAAATACAATGTACACGTATGAGTACATGGTGTGGTTCATATCTAGAGCTTGATACGAGCTAAGAGACGTGTTCCCTCGTCCCGTCAAGGGTTGAAGGATGAGAGGTCAACGGATGGAAAGTTCTTTATCTTTTGTAGTTGGTGTGAAATTAATCTGTTCAGCGAAGGTGCCCTCCACTGACAGGGGCCCAACATAGGACATGATCATCTATTTGTTAAGATGTTTTCTTTTGAATTGTTCTTCAAAATACACATACACCAAACATTTACAAGATCAGTTCAAAGCAGATCAAACTAGATTAGATCAAACCAAACCAACAAATTTCAGTCCAAAAGAAAACATCCTTAACTCACGAGCCCATATGCTCCATCAACCCCATAGGAAGGTGCAGGGAGAAATAGTCATCCAAAAGGTGAAAATGGAGAAAATTTTGGGAAGATCAACCCAAAAGTTTGCGCATGTAATAAACAGATTAAAAACCAAAAGAGCTTATTCAAATTCAATCCACCACATTCTATTTATATTTCAAAACGAGTCATGGCAATTTTCCAGCAGTCTCACGCACCTAACAGCAGTTTGTTATACGGAGTATTTGGTATGTTGGTAGTCTTGGTACTTGGTATGATGATATAAAATTTCAGAATATCGATTTTCTTTAACATTATACGGAGTAATAATTTAGCATTACCTACGAGAAGAGACCAGAAATATAATCCCAAAGAAAGACTAATATTTTGGTACGACCAAGCGGAACTCTGAAACTTTGAGACACTAATTGAAGATTAAAAATAATGATTGAATTGTATTATTATTATATCTGTCTCATTTCACCAAACATACATTTATTCTGATATTTAATATCATAGAAAAGAAAGATCGCAGACCAACATGATAGTCAATCAAGGTCTGCGACAAATCAAATAATTTAAATAAAAAACTGCATAGAGGGAAAGCTCTTCTAATGCAAGAAAGGCCTGGGGGAAGAAGAGGAAATACAAGTACACAAGTGGGCAATAGCAGCTGATAAGTCATGTGGTGATTGGCACTGGCTGCATAACACACGGAAGGCAGGACCTTAAATTTATTGGGCTGCAACCTGACCAACGAGCAGCTTGCGGATCTGCAGTAGATATGGGGGGAGGGGTGATCTAGTTAAAGCAATGCTGCTAAATCTAGAGGATACTATATAAATGAAAGCGTCTCTGCAACGTGTGGCATTCCAAAAATACAAATCAAAATTATGTCTGAAAAAACTACACCATTTTACCCACAAAAAAAAGTTTAGGCTGTCTTCTACTAACATGGTACCTCTTGAGGTTAACCGCCTAATTAAGCAGATTAGGGAAAAACTGAATCAAGTCGATCATGGACAACTTTTTAGAGCACCGGTCCAAACACAAATGCAGCAAACTAAAATAGCCATTTACACTTTATTTTAGGCGGAATTGAGACGAAGTCCCTACTTTTACACAATTTAAAAAAAAACCATACCCGAAAAGCTCACAACAATATTCCGTAATTGTGTTCACAAAAATAAACCGCAACTTAATGGTGTTAACTTTCCATATTTTTGAATAAACAAAGGGTTAGAAAATGTCTTACATAAATGTAAAATAATTTTTAAAATAAATTAGTATACCATCCATTTCAAATTATAAGAGACCAAATTATGAAATTTGACAAAGCTGAAATGTATAGCCCCCCCCCCCCCCCCCCCCCCCCCCCCGAGGCAAAGGCTCTGCTTTTGCTCCGACCTCCGGGAGATTGTTAAGGGGGGAGGCAAGGGAAGCCCAAAAGCCGACACTTGATAGAAAAAATATCCCCTCAACAACCCCCAAGATTCTCCCGTATGGCCTTTCCCTTTCCTACAAGGGGAGACTGCCTCCTTCAGCCTCCAGGCAATAACTCTCGAAATTTTAATAGCTAATTACTTCTCCAGCTATCGACGCCCGCCTTCTTGTACTCATGTTAATTGTATCTGTAGTAGCCACTTTTCACTTATCAGTTATCACTCAAGTGATAAAGCTGGCTATCAAGCGTTGCAACCAGGTATACGATTTTTTTTCATCTTTCAATGCCAAAAATGGAAGTGTATTAATATTTAATGTAATATGACTAAAATACTTGGAAATTTCTATTTTAAAGAAGAAAAAAGATTGAATATGTTTAATATTGATAATGAACAAAAGAGAGAAATTTTTTTATGAGTATTTGTTCGTGTATATGTACTATACAACAACAACATTGGAGCCTTAGTCCCAAAAGAGTTTAGGGTCCGCTAACATGAATTGATATATGAAATTAAAGTTATAAAGGCTTCGTGTATATGTACTATATTGTATGAAAAATATTTAATACATAGTATTAAATTACATTCATACCGAACCCAAAATCTGTTGGGACTAAAGCTTGGATGTTGGTGTTGTATTAAATTACATTCACAATGGAATTAAGTCTAGTATCAAATATAGCATTGTTAATACTTTTATACTACACACATTTTTTTATCCATGCCTTCATTGAGAACATGCAAACAGAACTAACGGAAGAGTTAACATTGTTAGTTTGCGGTTCATTTTTTTTATGTTAACTTTTTGAGTGGGAATTATCTGTGTTAAATGCGTAAAAGTGAGGATTATTGGGGGTGAATTTTTCCTTCATTTTATTAGAGTTCTTCTTAGCTGATATTATTCTTGTAACGAAGGTTGCAGGTGGGGGGTTGCATGTAACAGAGAGTACCTCAGGGAGCTTTTTACGAAACAAAACCTCCAATCTTGCATCAAGAGTGTTTTCACATACTATTTTTCCATCTCTGGAAGCCAAAACCACTCCACCAGCGCTGTAGGTAATGCAAAGTTGTCAAATGACGGTACAATAAAATGTCATTTTATGGTTCTTCATGAAATAACAGAATCAAGTGAACATCATACCAGGAAGGACCATGTGCATCATGATGGGAGGGAGCAGAAGGAAGGTGGATTTGATCAATTATGATCTCAGGTTGGTGAACCCCAGCCTTTGCTGCATATTCCTCTTTGGCTGAGTGCAAGACATCAGCTACCAGGTGAACATCGCTTTCCCGGCAGCGCAACAAGACTGAAGGCTCTTTGAGTTTATGCAAACTCTGAAACATATCGTGCTTTGGAGTTAGAATGGAAGGACAATTACTATTGTTTTAAGCATTAGTGGCTGATGCCCTTTAAACATAGAGACATACTCATTTTGTGAAACTACAACTACATGATCTGCAATGATCATATTAAAAACTTTTGTGTTGAGATGAAAATAAGACAAGTTAGCCTTCATAAACAAGCACAAGCTGGACATCATGTTCCCATCAAGAATAACCATGCAGTTGTAAGAAATGCACATGTTATGGATGAAAATTGAAAAGGGAACAGTTATTCCATCATCCAGGTTTTCAATATGATCTTATGATATGCAAGACAGTACATTACTTATGTGATTATAAGGTGTTACCTGTTCAAATCTCTTCCAATCTTCCATACAAAATACACGAGCGAACACACACATGCATGTATACACACAGAGAGACACACAATGCTATAGACACCACTGATAACACAAGCTCTAAATGTCACAACTCACAACCTTCGGACAACCCATAACGCCCTCTATAATTTACACACACAAAAACAACAGAGTCAAGTTAGGAATTGCTGAGCTTCACTACCTGAACAATAAGATCTTGCAGAAGTTTCTTGTAGCTATGGTGGTCATGGCTGACACGCAAAAGCTCCTTTGATGCAGCATCTTTCATAGAGTTAACCAAGTCATCTTGAGCTTGAAGAACCTTAATACGAGAAGCATTTAGTTGCATGGAGTACTCACTGCAAGAAGACATAGGATAATATAAAACTATTTTTCCAAATAGACTTTACCCAGTTGTTGTTCAACAGGGAAGAACAGTCCTCCAAATCAAATCAACATAATACATACATACATTTACATTTACCCCAGTGCCGCAAAGGCTCCCACCTACGGTGGGGTAAGGGGGGTCGGATGTACGCAGTCTTACCCCTGTACTAAAGCACAGAGAGACTGTTTCCGGATGACCCATAGTGAAATTCGCGTCCAAAATTGCATGGACTGACTGCTACTCTATAACAAAGAAGCGCAGACAGTTTAGTGAGTCATTTTGCTTTATTCCATCATAATCTCAAGCCAACAAATAATGAATCTTTGGCTCCATTGCAAATGATGGAAACAACTCAACATAATATCATCAGAAATTCCTCCAATGAAGTCGTCATCATCATCATTACCCCAGTGCCGCAAAGGCTCCCACCTATGGTGGGGTAAGGGGGGGTCGGATGTACGCAGTCTTACCCCTGTACTAAAGCACAGAGAGACTGTTTCCGAATGACCCATAGTCCTCCAATGAAGTGCAACAACATATTTCCATTCAAAGTCTGGATCTCATTTAGTTCACCCATGACCCATCTTTGTTTAAAATATAGGTGATGAGCAGCCATGCCGCTTTAAATTTGTATAGCAGAAAGAATTTTGAATTCACTACATATGATAGACTCATAATGGAAGCTCAAAAAGAGAATGGAAGAACCAAATTCTCAATGGAACATGTTTTCCTTCCTTTTTCCAATTTGTTCTCTAAAAAAAACTTTCTTCTCTATATTCCAACCCAAGTGAGCAACATAACCAAATTTTAGGGACTGGAGTTCAACATAAAGTAAAAAAAAGGTTATTGGAGAAGCCCAACAACTATAAATCTATAAGAACTAGCTTCTTTGGTTAATCGTGACAAATGTGGATTAATGAACACAGAACAACCTGTTTTGTGGAGTTTTAGGTGGCAGGTGTGCTGCAACATTGTGTAGCAATCCTTAAAATTTAGATGGGAATGCAAAGTGGATATGCATAGTTTTTTTATAATTTGTAATGTTTAACCACAAACTTGGTTGAGATTGATATTAGATGTTCAGACAAGTTCAAGCTTCTGAGATCCCAGGCTTCAAACTGTAGTAAAGATGAAAATATTAAAGAGAAAAGAAAGATGTGATTCTGTTGCAAACTTGCAAATAAGGTTAAAAAATAATCAAACTATTTATGATCACTGTGTTTCATACTGCAGCCTACAGGTGTCATGTTTTTGAACTTTTAAATAAACCAACTCCTATTGGAGTGGCGTCAAAGAAATGTTAACTATAAACGGAACCTAGAAGTTAGATGTCATCGGATGAAGATTGCAAAGCTAAACCGGACAGAGACTAACTGTATATATTATGAAGGCCTATTTCGATCTTGTGTACAGATTCAACAAAAGCACAGTAAGACTTGGAAAAAATAAGATAAGATCACAAGCTGAACCAGTAAAAACAGTAACTTTGCACATTACATTTTTTTCCTGACATCAACTTGCTTCTCTTTGCGTTCAAACTCTTGTCTGATCTTCTTCTTCTCAGCTTCCACTAGTTGCAGCTTCTCAATGTTGAATTCCTAACAGTGGTACAGAATTAATAAATCTATGATTCTTGTTTCAATTACTAACTTTAAGATCTCCAACGTAACACAGATATTAAGATGGAATTGAAATCAACAGTCTAGTTCAATGCATACTCACTTCTTCGGCTGAGACAGAAATCTCATTGGCCTTTTCCTCCGCTTCCTGGCGGATGAATCGGACCATCTGCTGGATCTGCTTGGATACATCGGCATCATTCATATTTGGTTTGTTTAGATCACTGGTCGGGATCCGAGAAGCGGATCGATTGATCGTAAGGGCCCGGCTTTCCTTCTTTCTGCGGGAGAGATGAGGGAGAGGAAACAGCAGGAGAGCCAAAAACACCACAAAAGTTAGTAGGTATATACTTCGGACTACGTATGACGCTGAGCCACGTCTAAGAATGCTTAAATTTTTTCGATGTGTATTACTGTCTCCCGGTAAACCACAAATTCTTTAAAAAAAATGTAAAAATGAGTTATATTAGAATTAGAACAGAGAAAAAAAAGAGTAAAAAAAGAGTGAAGACAATATTTTGATGACGTATATTAGAGTATCACCAATGCAATAATGTGCACCGTTCATACGTGACAATGTGGCACGACAAATATACACATAAAAATTACTTCCGTAATTAATATTACTAGAATATATCTCTACGTATTTGTATGATATTATTAATTTTTACAAACTATTTCTCTACAATGTCAAGGAAAGAGTCTAGATGTAAACATTTTGATTAAAAAATAACCAAAATACAGAAGACTATGCATACAATTAGAGGAATTTCATCAATACATTTTTTTGTGTCTATATCTTTCATAGAACACATATATCGCGCATGTTGTTGCATTGGATATGCTATTAGGTTGGTGTAAAAAAGGATGATACCTTATGCCATGTCACCATTTATGTACTCCGTAAAATATTAGACACATCTTCGTAAAAACAAGGAATTTCCAAAATAGGAATAAAAAAAGAGAAAAATGCTCAAACTAAGACTAAGTATGCAGTGCTTATACCGTGGAACCAGTGCATGTGAGAACCATGCACCCTTTGTTATTTTTTATTTCTCTTTTTCTTAAAATTGTTAATAATTTTTTTATTTTTGATTCGATTTTTATAAAATTTATATCAATTTTTTTTTATTTTTCATGATCTTTCAAATGAGACCAATATTGCCTATGTAATTTTAATTTTTTACATTCATACATTTTTTTGTAATATTGATGGAGTATATGGCCCGGGAACCCCCGGCCCACAGACTCCTACTACTCCAGCAAAGGCCCAACAGGCCCAGAAGGCTCAACAGGCCCAAATCACAGCGCCCAGAGTACCAAGCAGCCCGCACTACGCGCCAGGGGTGCCTTCGGCCCCCTGGCCGAAGGCTCTGAACTCTTACAAAACAGGGTTCTCAAGCAAACTAAGAAACTGGGAGAAAACGGCAAAAACAGTAGCCCTCGGCACCAGGAGCCCTCGCCACCAGGGGGCCATCGGTTTGAGGAGCCCTCGGCTGCTGCCCTATAGCCGAAGGCACCTCTCCCGACATGATATCCGCCTCACATGCATACAGATCACCGTACCCTGTACAGACGTCCCATCCAACAACCGCATTAAATGCGGCCACATGCGGCTGCCTACGCCAACCAGTTGAAGTGACCCCTCGGCCAATGGGCGCTTGACACGTGTCCCTGTCCGGCATTTATTGCTACTATAAATAGCACCTCATTTCCCCATTTGTAACCACGACATTCATACTGAATACACTCTCTCTCTTACTTACTTTTGCTCTGACTTCTCTCTAAGTTATTCCCAGCAATAACCCTTCGGATATATACCCCCGGGTAGACTATCCATCATTTGGTGCTCTCGTTGAGAGGTCGAACAATCGAGTAAGAAACCCTCCCCCTTCGCCAAACACTAGCCCTCTACCAAAAATGGTGAGAATAACACGTGCCAACTCCAAAAACGTAGAAGACAAGAACCTGGCCCTCGGCGACGTCAACGCCCCCGAAGCCTCTCGCAGGGCTCCCGAGGGCGGTGTCATCGCTGGGCTGGAACAGACGGCTGTCGATCTACGCCTTCAGATCCAACAGAATGCCCCCGATGCCCGCCTCGGCATCGAGGCCAAGAAGAAAAACCGGAGCGATGACCAAGTCAGCCCCCCGATTCTCACCATCGACGTGCAGTCGGCGCTCTCCGCCTTCATCCAGACGCTCACTCAGAACCCGGGAGCCTTCGGCACCCTGGCTCTGGCTCAACCCCAGGTTGGGGAGAACATCATACTTCCCCCTCTGTCACACCCCTTCGGCAACCCCCTCCCTCGGGTTAGGAATAACGAAGGGGTAGTGGCCCAAGATACGTCCTCCCAGGAAGTTCAGTCCCGGGACTGCCACCATGACGACAGAGAAAGGCCCCGCACTTCCGCCCTCAACCGGCTCGGAGGAGGGCCAGACCGCCGAGGGGTCCAAGATCGCCTCGGAGGGAAAGCACTCCAAAGGCCCCAGGAAAGCGGAGGGTCTGTCTCGAGGGCAGACGAGGAGCGTCCCCCTCGGGACAAAGGCAAGGCACCCCTTCATGCCAATGATGCTCGCCACCAGATCAACCAGGCCCACTCGGCCCGGGTTCGTTCGCAGGGGGCGGAGACCCTCCCGAAGGATCCCCGGGACGAGATTATTGCGGCCCTCCAACGCCGGCTTGACGAAATGGAGTCCAACAAAGCTCACGCCACCACCTCCACCCCTCACTCAGACCTCAAATACGAGGCCATGATGGCCAAAATGGAGGAATTACAGAAGAAGGTGGCCGAGGGCTCCGGAGAACCCGTCATCCAGCTCCAGACTCGGATGCCATTTACCCCAAGGGTATTGGCGGCCCAAATCCCGGAAAAATACCGAGGGCAACACATACAGCCCTACAACGGGAAAACGGACCCCCAGGAACACTACAACAAATACCAGAACAACATGATGATGGTAGGGGCGTCAGACGAATATTTGTGTCGTTGATTCCTCTCCACCTTAGAGGGGCCGGCATACGAGTGGTTCAACAGGCTGCCCGAGGGATGCATTGATTCATGGCAAGAACTCGCCCAGCGGTTCTTGACACAATTTGCTGGGAGGCGTCGCACAAGGAAGCACTTCTCCCACCTCCTAACAATACGCCAAAAGAGGGATGAGACCCTTCGGGACTTCCTGGAGCGCTGGAGGACGGAAGCCGACAAAGTCGACGGTGCTGATGACGGGACCCTCCTGGCCCTCCTACAAAGCGTCCTCCGCACCGGCAACTTTTCAAGGAGCCTCATCATTGAACCCCCCCACCCCCCGCGACTACATAAGGGCTTTGCAGCTGGGGGACCGATATGCTGAGGCCGAGGAGGTGGAAAAATATCACCAGCATCCGGATCAGCAGCCCCCGAGGGCTGACAACAAAAACAACCGAGGGCCGGGGGCTCCTCCAAATCACCTAAAATCTTCAGGACCCTCCGATGATCGCCCTCGGCAAGGCCAAGCCAAGCCCGGGGGAGGTTATTAGAGCAACCCCAAGACTTGGGCACAACCCATTCTCCTGGACCGCCCTCGGACACCATTGACGCACCCCGTCAGCATCATCCTTGATTTTGCCGAGGAGAGGGGCCTCGTTGAGCGCGATTCCCGCGCACCCCCGGAGGTACATGCTATCAACCCTCAGTTCCCATACTGTCGCTTCCATCGGCACCAGGGGCACAGAACCGATGACTGCCATCAGCTAAAGACGGCCATCGAGAGGTTAATACAAGCGGGACACCTGTCCCAATTTGTTCAGAGCCCTCGGCAGGAGGGACCTTCTCATCAGGGGCCTCCCCGAGGGCACCACACGAAGGTGAACGCTTGGGTGAACCCGAACACCATCCCCCTCGGCAAGAAGAGGGAGATCGGAAACTTGGAGGAAGAAGAGGAGGAGTACCCCCACTACCAGGAGAAAAAACGCCACATCTTCATGATCACCGGTGGCAATACAAGGGGCGATTCCACCAGCCAGCGAAAGAAGTGGGCTCAATCGCTTTACGTGGGGGAAGTCACTCATATGCCTCCGGTAAAGCGACTGAGGGAGGAACCCATCACCTTCACCAACGCAGATCTCCCTCCTACTTCTTCTCCTCACAGGGATGCCTTGGTGATTCGGACCGAAATAAACGACACCATTATTCACCGAACTTACATTGACACGGGCAGCTCCGTCAATGTAATGTACCTCAGCACCTTCAGAGAGCTGCATCTGGAGAGGGGGTCCCTTCGGCCCATTAAGACCCCTCTTGCCGGCTTCACCGGCGACACTATTGATTCCGAGGGGGTAATAACCCTCCCGGTGATCTTCGGCGACGGGCTCCATAGAGCCCAGCTCGAAGTGGAGTTCGTCGTCGTTAACATCGACTGCGCCCACAACATTATCCTCGGCCGGCCAGCCCTGGAGGACCTCGAGGCCATCATCTCCATGAGGCACCTCTACCTCAAGTTCCCCGCCGAGGGGGGCATTGGCTACTCCCGGGGGAATCAGAAAATCGCCCGCGCCTGCTATCTTCAAGTCACTAAGAAGGTAAGTAAGACGGAATTCCGTGTTGACACCATCACCAGAACCATCGACCAAGAGGAAAAAAGGCCGAGGGCTGAACTGGCCGAGGACGTAGAAGACTTTGCGCTCGATCCGGCCCAGCCGGAGAGAGTCGTGAAGATTGGAGCCCAGCTCCCTGAAGATTTGAAGACCGGTATCACCGACGCCCTCCGTGCCTACTCCACTGTCTTTGCATGGGGGCCGGAGGACATGCCGGGAATCAGCCGAAGGGTCATCACCCACCGCCTCTCGGTGGACCCCTCGGCAAAAGCAGTACAACAACGAAGAAGACCCCTCTCCGCCGAAAGGAGGTAATTTGTGAAGAAGGAGGTCGCCATGCTCCTCTCTATTAAGCACATCAAGGAGGTGAAATATCCCTCATGGCTAGCGAATGTAGTCCTCGCACAGAAGCCCCCTACCTTCCGCATGTGCATAGACTACACCGATCTCAACAAGGCGTGCCCTATGGATCCATTCCCTCTGCCAAATATTGATCAACTGGTGGATGAGACCGCAGGGTGTGAGATCATGTCCTTCCTCGATGCATTCCGAGGGTATCACCAAATTTTCATGCACGAGGAAGACGCTGAAAAAACTGCCTTCATGACTCCCGAGGGCATCTTCTGCTACCTAGTAATGGCCTTCGGCCTAAAGAACTCAGGGGCCACTTACACCCGGATGGTGGCCCGAGTCTTTCAAGCCGTCCTAGGGCGCACTATGGAGGCCTATGTCGA